AAGCATTAATTTTATAATAGATGGAGATAAAAAGATCGTATTAAGGTCAACTTTTAGTTTTAAATAGAATCATAATTTTTATACACTAATGCAGATTATTATTTTCTATAAAAAATTTTTAAACTGTCAAAAAAATAAACTATGTCAAAAAATCATTATCAGTAAAACTGATAAAAATCATTTAGAAGAACTTGAAGTTTGTAAAATTTATTATAAAAGACAAAGAACATACGAAGCGATACTCTATTGTTTATGTTTTTCTTGCCTTTAACACAAACTTCAAGTTATAATATCTTGTAAATTAATAAAATTTTTTAATTATATTTTTTATAAGAAATAACTTATTGCATGAATTAATATATAAATTATATTGCATTTAAAAAAAAGTTGACTTTCAAAAAACTTCTATATGTCTATCTACAAAAAAACTATTATATATATAAAATATTTATTTTTTTTAAAGATATTACATTAGTTAGATAAAATCTCTTTCTAAAAATTATATTACACTATTTTAATTTTATATAAAATTAAATAAATAATATTGCAATATATTCTTAGGCCTTCTAGCAGCTATAGGAATGCAGAAATTGTTTGTTTGGTATATAAGATACAAGAAAAGTACAGAAAGAGAAGTTTTTAAACTTGTTAGTGATATTATTAATATGGTTGAAATGCACCATCAAAATGCGGTAATTAATTCTCCGGGTAGTACACAAGAAAGCTTTCTTGCCATAAATCATATACGTGATAATCTTATACCTCCAAAAGACCGAAAAAAAATGGCTGGACTTTGGGAAAAAGCAGTGAAATTTTTGGATGAAAATGAATCTAGGTAAAAAATTTTGCAAATTATTATAAATTCTATTCTAATACTTATTGATATTTTAAATAAAAGTGTTTAATTATAGAATTCGAAGAGAAGTACAACAAGTTTCCGGGGAAGAATTTCATGTATGGCGCTGGTTGCCTAATAATAGTCTTAATAAATCTAACAGTCAAAATTTTGTTTTAAATAAAAAATCTAAAGTGTGGCAAGGTCAAGCTTTTGAAACAATGGAAGGTTCTGTTAATAGTTTGACTTGTTCACCAACACCCTGTTTAAAAATAAGGCATATGTTTGATGCAGATGTGTAAGTGTTTCAATTTATATTTTTTTTTAATTATATATAAATTTCTATACTTATATACATATGTATGAATAAATATATAAATATTTCTAGAGAATTTGAAGATGATTGGGAAACGAAAGTTCAAGATGCTATTCTAGAGAAATGTGGAGAAGGCGTTAAAATTCTTCACATTCGTGTAGATCGCGGTAGTCGAGAAGGTTGTGTTTACATGAAATGTATGTCACAAGAAGATGCAGGAAAAGCTTATAGGGCTTTACATGGATGTTGGTTTGATGGTAAATATTTATAAAATTTTTCAATACATTCGTGAAATATTTTTAGAAAATTCTAGAAATCAAAACAAATACAAAAGTTAGAATATAAAAATATTGATTAAAGTTTATTTATTAAATTATAAGCAATTTAATCCTAATTAATTTAATCCTGTTTAGCGCGAAATTATTGTTTATCTTTAGTATTTGAATAATTGATTGAATTGAGTTTATCCTTTTTTTTTTTATAACATACAACAATTGCAATCGCATTTGATGATTTCAAAAATGTTTGAAAACAATATTTAATGAAACAAGTAAGCTTGAAATCAAAAATGTTTGAAGTAAACTGAAGTAAACATTAATGATGTCCGAAAGATACAGGAATAATAAGGATCAAGTTTGTTAAATAAGAGAGCAGAATACAATAGTATACAGATTTTATTTTCTTTTTGTCTGATTTCTTCTTATCAATTAGTAAACCTTAATTGACATTTTTATATCAATTTTGGAGTTTATTTTGGTTTTTAGAATTAACAAACATCTCATAATATATGTAGAGTACCCCCAAAAATGTCGGAATATCCATAAACTGGAGATTCCTCAAATAATTTTTAGAAATTTAAGTAACATTTTTGTTTGTATAATGTGTGTATAAAAATTTTCATTACAGTTTCATTAACAAGTTATTAATAAAAAAAAATATATTGAATAATATATTGTATCGAAACAAATATTTTTTTATCGATAAAAAATTATCGAATTATATCACGAATAATGAATATATAAATAATCACGAATAATGAATAAATAAATATAATATTCAACACACTTTCTACCTATGTTACTTGGATTTATTCATATTTGATTGGCGACATAGCTAATGTTACTCTTATGGCATGACTAGACTATGCATTTCGTAATTGTCCAGTTTTTTTTGTTAATAACTCGTTAATAATAAAGCTGTAATGAAAGTTTTCACAAAGAAATATGTTGCTTGAAATTACTTCAGGAATCTCTAGTTTATGGATGTACCAACATTTTTGAGGCATTTTGTGTGTGTGTGTGTTTGTGTCTGTGTGTATTTATTTATATTTATATTTTTCCAGGTCATTTAGTAACTGTAAAGTACCTGAGACTAGAAAGATATTACGAGAGATTTCCAGATGCGCGTCGTTGTACAACACCATTAAAACCAAGTAACAATCAACGATTATCTATGCAAGCAGATTATTAGTAGAAATATGGATATAAATTGACGAAATACCTCTTCGCTTGTACATATACGATTCTCAAGCAGAATTTGAATTTTTTCCGCTGAAATGATTGTTTGCGGACCAGAATTCGCAAGATTTCTATTTTTTGCTCTAAAAAAGAATAGAATTTCGTACTATCGCGCAGAAGTATAGAATTTATGAGACTTGCGACTGTGTAATAGAATTCTAAGAATCGAATGAGCAGAGACTTTTTTATAAGCATTTTTGTTTTGATTATGTTATATGACCTTTTTTAAGGTACAAAAGTCGAAAAAATAAGACTCAAGATTATACTATTTATGAAACTACTGTAAAATAAGTGCGATAATATCATTTTAAATGTTGCATTTTATGACAGTTCTTAAGTAGCAATATACAAATTTATAATATGCATATCCAAATTATTGTACTACATATATATTTTTATTATGCGTCAAAGAAAAATTAATTTATGACGTAACATTATATTGTGTTGATACAAGCGATAATTCTTTTATAAATTAACTTTTATATAATATAATTATTGAGTAAAATAGTTATTTTGCTTTACATAAATAATATTTCATTTTTGCGAATTTCATAAAATATATAAAATATAAATCGAATGTAAAGCAAAAAAAAAAAAAAATATTAAAAAATCAAAATATACTAATATATATAATATTAAAATAATAGAAAATAATCTGAATTTGATAATTACAGTTAATATAATAATATGTATATGTATATAAATTAATCAAATATATATATTATTTTTCAACAAATAATACAGGAAAATGATTTTCAATTTTTTGTATGTAAACATAATTTATTTCATGCTTTATGCTATCAATGTTTTAATACTTTTTTTTATGCACAAGTTTATATAACTGCTAATGTATATTGCTACTTAAAATAAGGAATAAATTAAATTTTTGTATTTTTTGTATCTTTCAATAATTTTTTATATCTATATATGTTTCTTAAAAATGAAGTTCTGAAGATAATATCAGATTTCTTCAAATTATTTATCGTTATATTTTTTTCTGGATAAGTAATATTAAATGCATAAATTTAATTACTAATTGAAAATATAATAGTATGAAATACTTTTGAGAATAGTAATACATTACAGTACAAACTCACACTCTCTCTTTCTCTTTCTCACTCACTCACTCACTCACTCATTCACTCATTCTCTCTCAGGTCAATAAAAATCAATATTTTTATTTAAAATATTCAATATAATTTATGTATAGAGAACATTTCATATTTTTTTTCTAAATTACATATTACATTTTCATACGTCAAGTTTAACAATGTTTGATATAAATATATATTTATGTCAATATTTTATGATGTATACAAATGATAGTAATTAATGGACAAATTATATGTATAATTTAATGTGATTTAAAAAAATTCAGATATATTGAATATTTAAACATAAAACAGCACATAGCAAATAATATCTATAAGGCATCTATAGGTCTAAAGTGCACAAAATTTTTGAATAATCAAGACAGATTTGAGAGCAATAGTTTTTAATTATTACAATAATACAATAATACATCTAATAATAATGACAATATGTTGATGTCAAGGAACAAAAATTGATTATAATGATTTTAAGAATATTATCTGATATTTTTATTTTATAATTTGATTCCTATATCTTCACTATAATAATATTATTTTTACATATAATTCTAAAATAATATCATTTACATATATAAATTCAGTTTCATTTTTTAAAAGAAGCTTGATTTCTTTAAATTTTTTGTGTCAATAGAAATCTAAAATTTAATAAATGGAAAATTTTATATAATACGCATATAAAAATTGTTATATAGACTTACATTATAAATATTCTATTTATTATTGAAGTATTGAAATTTTTAATAGAAAGATAAACAAATATACATATTTTTGTTAGAATAAATATAAAAATATATACATATTTTTAATATAAATTTTAATTATTTGATGTTTTGAGAAATTTATTGTTGAATATTTTTTTCAAAATTATAAATCAAGTTCTTTTAAGTTTGGTGAGTTTTAAGAATTTTTTTTAATTTCATGAGTTTACAATTCATAAATTATGTTATACTTTCAAAATATGATATACATTTTTTTTATTAATAATTTGAAATCTTGTAATCTCATTATTAATATATCTTTTTAGTCTAATGTTTCATCTGATTATATAGATATTTTCTAAAATATCAATTATTACAAATATATCTTGTTTATTATTTTCATTCATTATAGATTTATATTCAGTAAAATTTATTTGGAGCTTATTATCTATATTTAATATATAAGTGTTTATATATTTTTAAAAATTCTAAGATATTTTATAAATAATAAAATTTGTTAATTTCTAATGTTAATTAGTAAAATTTCTAATTTAAAATATTAAATAACTTCAATATTAAATTTATTTATATATAGTTCATATAATTAAATAAATAAAATTAAATCAATTACAGATATATATATTTAAAAAGAAAAATAATTTTATAAATAATACTACTAATATATCATTGCAACAATCAGTTAAGTTATAAAAAGTTATTTAGATTTATTTTTATATATTAAAACACTGAATATTCTTTCACATTGATCTTCTCAAGATAAATATTTTTGTCTTCTCTTGATGATATATACAAATATTATATAATTATTATTTGATTTCAAAATAATGATACTAATAATAATAGTGATTTTTCCAATTTCAAATATGAAGAAATGTTGAATTATTATGTTTAATAGTTTAGTTTTACAAAATAATTATATGATCAATATAAGAGTATAAATATATTCTTGCATTTATAATACATAAAGAATGAGTTTATTTATGAAGAACTGTTTGAAGTTTTTACATAAAATATTTACTGTCGACGAAAATTAAGAGATTGATTTTATTTTATAAATAAAAATATTATGTCTTAAATCAATTTTCCAATTTTAAATTTATGTATAAACAAATATTTCAAACTTTGTATAAAATTTTAATTAAAGCACAGAATTACATTGAAAAATTAAGCATAAAAATTATAATAACAAACCTTATTAGACAGCCATTTTATATTTTAAAGTTTGGTTCTGATTTTAATCATGAACAAAATGAATTCTAGATTGTTTTTTTTAATTATAATAATTTTATTTAAAAATTTATAATAATTATTATTTTTATATATTTATTATTTTTATATTAATTATTATTTTTTATAAATACAAAAATATATAACATAATAAAAATAATTTAGCGACTTTATAAAAAAAAATTGTGTACAAAAAATGAATTCAACTATATTGATTTATTTTTTATTTGCACAATTATTTTTATTTCAAACTAAAAAGATATTTTTATATATTTTTATAAATTTTACTACTTATGTTATTAAAGTTATTATATTATATAATAAATATATAAAATAAAAAAATATTTTAATACTTATAGGAAGCTTTTAAATATGCCATCTACAGTACAGATCAGGTAATAGAATAAATACACCATGTTCTTATCTATAAATTTCATTTGTTTAAGAAGGTAGCAGACATGTTTCCTCAGCACCTCGGTCTTTTCCGGTTATCCTGTAGCGTGTATCAGGTAATGGGATTTTGAATGCGGAAGATTCTTTGTAAAATCGAAAATAATCTAATAATGTAGTAAATATTGCAATATACTATTTGTAATATTTAATATTATATACTATGTTTATATAAAGTTAAATATTATTTTTAGAAAATAATAATTGTGATTAAATATAACCTTGTGTTTCAATTTTTAAAAATATTTGTTTTTAAATGCTTTTATAAATATATTTTAAATTGTTTAGTATCATAATTTTTGATATTATTATATTAATTTATAATAAATATATTTATATATATATTTATATATTAAGTAATGTAAATAATGTAAAATGTAAACTTCAATTAATATTAATGTAATTTAATATTAATGTAAAATATAACTTTAATGATAACTACATTTCATTAATTTATATTTTACTTAATTATACATAATTTTTTTAATTTTGTTTTGTTTTATATTTATTTTGTCTAATATTAGTTAGTATATTAAATATTTTACTTATATTAAGAATAATTCACTGTGATATATTTTCATATAAAAATAATTATTTTTTGTTCAAATTAACAATTATATTAAGTTGAAAATTTAAATTTAAATCATTGTATCATTATATTTATACATTATAGGATGAAACAAATTGTAACAAATCAAACTGTGAAAATACCTGAGGGACTAACTGTTACTGTCAAGTCCCGTTTGGTTACTGTTAAGGGACCAAGGGGTATTCTTAAACGTTCTTTCAAGCATCTTGCACTTGATATTCGTGTAAGTAAAAGAAGAATTTAATTTTATTTAATATAAAACCATATAAATATATAGTTATAATTTTATAAAAATATTTGATGATATTTGGATTCCCCATCATTTTTTAAATAAATGACAAATCCTTATCTGATTATCATTATATGCTAAATAAATTATAATATGATTTAGTATAGTTTTTAACTATATACATTTTTTTTGCAGATGGTAAGTCCAAGATTATTAAAAGTTGAGAAATGGTTTGGAACAAAAAAAGAATTGGCAGCTGTTCGCACAGTTTGTTCCCATATTGAAAATATGTTAAAAGGAGTAACTAAAGGATATCAATATAAAATGCGAGCAGTATATGCTCATTTTCCTATTAACTGTGTTATAACTGAGAATAATACAGTTATTGAAATTCGTAATTTTTTGGGTGAAAAATATATCCGTCGTGTAAAAATGGCACCAGGAGTAACTGTAACAAATTCAGCTAAACAGAAAGATGAATTAATAATAGAAGGAATTCTTTAGAAGATGTTTCGCGATCGGGTAAATAATCATTTTAATAGCATTAATTAATTTTTAATAAAAGGATTTTTTGTTACAAATAAATTGAAATTATTTATTACAGCTGCTCTTATACAGCAATCAACAACTGTAAAAAATAAAGACATTAGAAAATTCTTGGATGGTCTCTATGTGTCTGAAAAAACAACAGTTGTACAAGATGATGAATAAATGTTATTTACAATGTGAATATAGTTTTTATTAATTTATATTTTATTAATGATTTTCTATTATAAACATTTATTTTTTTAAAATAAATTTTCTAAAATATTATGAATATAATATAAAATTTTATGAATATAATGAATGAAATGAAATTTTTAAATATTTATAAATATATATGATGATATATATAATATATATAATTTATAAATATTCATGCAATATGAAATGAAAATACAGATGCAGATAATTTTCAAAACATTTGAAATATTTATAGAGAAGTATTTATAACATAAAATAAACTAGATAATATAAATTATAATAATATAAATATGAATATATAAATTATGTAAAAAATTTTAAGTAGATGCTTGATTTGATGATCCATTGAAATCATTTATATCAAATTACAAATATATTTTTTAATAAAAAAACATGGAAGGAGTTGATAAGCTTGATAAATATTACGAGGTCAATGGTCATTCTGAATTATGTAATTCATTATAATAGTCATATCTAAAATGACAAAGATCCATTGATTCTTATTTAGTCGCATATTATATTTGATATATATTAAATGATGTAATAATTAATAAGTTCAATATATAAATAATATTATAATATATAATAATATATAATTAATATTTATATGAAATAATCAATTATCAAAAAAAATTAAACATTTTTATTATATGTATATTGACCTATATAATAAAAGATTTTAGATAAAAGGTGAAGATAATATTAATTCATAAATCATATCTTATAGTTTCTTTAAAATATGAAGATATCTTTAACTATTTTAATTTAGTATTTGATAAAACTTAAATTATCTATTTTTACTATTAGAATCAAAAAAAAATTTTTAAATATTTTTTACTTCTGTATTTTTTTTATAAAATTGTTTAAAATTCAATTATTATAATATAAATATATATTATATTAATTTATAATACAATTAAATTATTTATGCAAAATAAAATTTTTATATTAAATTTAAATTTAAATTGAAGCTGGGAATATATTTTAATCTATTTTTTCTTAATATATATTTAATTTATATATTACTATTTATACTTTAACTTAACTTAAATAATATTATTTGCAACTAATTTGAATTCTTTTCATATTTATTATTATTGATAATTTATATAAATATTATTTTTTTATATCAGATTATCATATGTATATATATGATATTCCTATTTTTATAAAACTGAAAAATATTAAACTTATATATCATTAACATGAATTCATATGTATCAGAACTATTGTCATATAAGAAACAGAATCTTATTTAATAATTAATAATATGTAATTTAAAAACGTTACATTTTTAATATAATAAAAATCATTGTTCAATTATTAAGAAAAAACATAAAATTATAATAAATTATTTATATAAAATTAAAAAAAGTTATTTTGATTTAGAAAAAAATTAATATTATTATATGTATATGTACATATATATTGTTTGCAAAAAGGATACTAAAATAAAATAATAAAAAATATTAACATGAGATGAAAGAAATTAAAAAATTAGAATATTAATATTATTAATATTTATACAATATTATTGTATAAATTTTTCATTATTTTTTTTAATTTTTTTAAATTAATAATAAAATGCCATAAAAATAATTAACTTATAATCGATAAATTTTTCAAACAATATTTTGATGATATTTTATTTAATTCGTTTTATAAATATATGTGATCGAATATATATAATGAAATTTTACATTGTAACCGTCAATTAGTATTGAATTAATAATAAAAAAATTGCGAAACAAAATTGAATAATAAAAAAAATAATATGTTTATACATTGAATATATTATTTATATATTTGAATATATATTAACCTGAAAGAATATTTATTAATTATTATATTATTATGTACTTATTATAACAATAATTTAATTATTTCTTTGAATTTTAAAGTAAAAAAAATATGTCGGATAGGAGAGAATTCTCTTTTTATCCTATAGTAAATTAAATATAATAAATTTTTAATATAGTATAATATAGTAAAAAGTTATTATTTAAAAATATTATATATAATCATTAATTAATTTATTAATCATATTTATAAATAATTTTGATAATATATATAAAGTAATATATAAAAAATATGCATGAATAATCAAATATACAAAAAGAAAAATATAATAAGAGAATTATAAATTGCCTGTTGTAACATGATTATTTTTTATAACTTTGAAAATAAATTTGAATTCATATATATTTTTTTATGAATATTTTATAAAATTATAGTTTGATGTATAATTAAAAGCAATGTAAGATATTGTTTTATATAAGCAATTTTTATTAATTTTTATTTCATTTCAAAAAATTAATAGAGTTATTGAATTATTTTAATGTTTTATATACAACTCATAATGATAAAAAAAAATATCGAAGGAAATGAACAAAAAATTATTATAAATTATATATTTGGTAATGTATTTATAATTAATTATAAATAAGATAATTGAAATATGAATTTAAAAATGAAAAAACAGAAAAAAGCAAGTACATAATAGATAAACGAATATAAAATATATGTATCTACTTGAGAATCGTTGCGTGAAATAGAAAAAGAGAGGGGGCGTTATGCTCCCCGATCGGCAGACGAACAGTGAGGGGAATAAAAACATGATAGGGGGAGGCAGTATAGGGAGTCATGCGAGTCGATCAGCGGTAGTCAGTTAAATTCTCGCGCATGCCACGCGCTTAACGGTGTTGTAAATTTTCACAAGTGGTCATGTCCGTGACACTTTTGCCCGCGCTTTCATAGTCACAGGTTTGTAAATCAAACAACGCTATCTATTTAAATACATGTATGTCAAAATAATAGTCGAATTAGTTATAAAAAATCGGTACATTAAAATTATTTGATGAAAATTGACAGCAGTTTTGTTGCGTTTTATCCTGGTAAGTGTGTATTTTTAATTTTTTTTTAGTATGGCAAATAATATAAAAGCACATGTTTATAAGCAGTAAAGAATTTATCTTGAAAATATGATGAATTAAATGATATAAGTTATTAACATTATCAATATATAATGTATATATAAATCAATAACAATATAAATAAATAACAAATTTAAAAAGAATTAAATATGAATTGCAAATATGATAATATTCTTTAATCTATTATTTATACTTTATATATATTTTTAAGAATAAAAATCTATTCATAAAAATATTTATAAAATATATTGAACTATAGATATTCTTTATGAAATGAAATGACAAGTTTCGAAATCTTTTTATTATTGTAAAAATTTATGAACTTATATTATTAATTATAAATTTTTTATTTTTTCTGTAAGAATTAAATTGTTTTAAAATAACGATTTAAAAACTTTATTTTATTTAGATAAAACTTTATATAATTAATTATACTTTTTTTTTATTTTAATTATACATAAAATTAATAATTTTCTAATTATTTTGATAAAACAATTTTATTTTTATTAAATCATAGTGTTCTTAAATTTTCCTTATAGTTTATTTAATTACGGGGAAAAAAAAGGGCAGGTTAAAAGTAAAAAAAACCAAAAAAGGCAAGTATAATTACATTATAACAAATGCGATATGTTAACGAATAAAAAAAATATGAAAAATTCTTTGCTTCATTTGAAGACAAGAGGATTGTGTATCGTTCGCAGATGAAATTCGCGATTCCTTTCACTGCAAAATGAAGAGGTTAACGACCTTATATAATAATAGATATTCTATGTTTTCTTATTTCTGTATTCTATATTTTCTTCATTTTTCTTGGTTTTTTTATTCCTAAATACCAATTGTTATCAATGTAAATTCAGTATTTTTTAATCAAATATGATTTATTTTAAATTATTAAAAATAATTATTAACATGTATAAAATAATATGTCATCAAATAATATTAAGAATGAGTCAATAATTTATCACGTCGTTTACCGAAAGACGAAGTGATTCAAACTCGTCCTTATTCAGCTGTTTTGTCCTACTTTATATAACACCTTTGAAGAAGAACATGGAAATTGCAAATTCATTCCGGACTTCGATAAAACTTTATGTGCACTAACATACATAAAATAAAATTTGAAAAAATTCCTTAATACTAATAATAATTATTAAAATTTAAAAATATAAATTAAACAATTTAATAATATTATTTAATTCTAAATTTCAACAATCATATAGATAAAAATTTTATTTTATTTTCAAGAAAGTTAAAATAAATTTGAATGAATTTAAAAAAAGGAATTAAATGAAAAAATTGATTGCTTCAAATGTTTTGTTAGTCTGGAGCATTCAATACATATTGTCAATATTTCAATTTTTTTCAATTTTATCATATAAAAACAATCGATATATATGTATATTAATATAATATTAATATAATATTATCAATATTATTAAATAATCATAAAAAATGTTGAAAATTTTGAAATATTGATCATATGAAATTATCACTATTTATATTTCGAGATGCAAATCATTTCAAATTCTAAAAATTTAGAGACAATATGAAAAAAATGGATAATGAAAAATATACGATAATTTTTTCTAAATTAAGTAAATTACTATTTTTTTGTACTTAAAATATTATTACAAATGACTTTAAATAGAACGAATAGAATTATTATATTTATATTATTTATTTTATTTTTAACTCGTATTGTAATTATATTTTTCTATTTTCTTTCTATAAATATGTTTATAAACGATTATCAATATCAAGGTTAAAATCGATATAAAAATATCGATATTGATATTCCATAGAAAATTCGTGAAATGATTGAATGAACTTTGTGCGTATCGCGTAATGTGCGTATGCTGCTGATGTATTAATCATTCCATGTTATCGGTTGAACATTTAAAATAGGGATATTACAATCTAAGTGGATTCTGAAAAATTCATTGGAGCGTAACTTTGCCTGATTTATTTGTCGTAATTATGAAACTTTATCATTTATAATGACATTTAGTATAAAAATTAGATAAAAAAATAAAATTACTGCTTCCTGTTTGATAAAATGATAATATGATTTTTTGTAATATAAAATAATTTAGCATTCAATTATTTAAAAAAATCAATAAAATTAATATATATATAATATATATCTTTAAATTAAAATAAAAAAATGAAAAGATACATAAATAGTAGTTTAACAAACTTTAATTTTGTTTATTTATTTGATATTATTTTGGACAAGTTTAAAATGAAATATAAAGATTGATAATTTTATGAATTGTTTGAAAATAGATTTAAATAAATTGAAATTGGATTAGAAAATAGTAATTAGAAATAGAAAACGTTTTGAAAAATAATTTTATTATACATATTATATATATAATTTTATTAATATATGTAATGTTTCAAATTTTATAATTCAAAAATTTATTATTTTATTTGCTTTTTATCTTTGTTAAATGAAATATATTATATATTATATTATATAAAAATCATATAAGTCATATATAATAGATTATGCATTAGAATCTATCCTTTCGTTAATAATATTTTCACATTTAGATAAAATTTTGATGAATATTTTTTAATTACATGGAAAATTATTAAACATGTATTTTTAAAAATATGATATGTAATTTTTTTGATTTGTTTAATCTTTCTTTATAATTTTCATATCTAGCAATTATTTCCTTTCCATTTATTTCTTTACATTCTGATATCATCATCGTTACTAGTTGTGAAATAATAAATAAAAAAAAATTAAAAAAATAAAACCAGAAGTAAAAGAAAAAATACAAACGTGGAATAAAATAAATATTTTTTTATTTTTGATTTTCTTTACTTTTCTCGAATATGATATAATAAAATATTGTATTATAAAATATTTGTATTTAGATGCGTTTTCTTTTCTATTTCATTTTATTGTTTATTTATTTACTTACTTATTATTTATTTATTTAATATTGTATAACAATTACATGTTATTTCTTTTGTTACAATAATAAAATCATGCTAAAAATTTTAAAAATTTAAACATTTTGAATCGTTATAAGAATAGATAAAATTATATATAACAATATTACTTTAAAATTTCAAGTTAGATATTTACTTATCAAAACTCTAAAAATAAAAAATATGAATATATATATATATATATATATATATATATATATAT